ACTTGTACAAAACCGCAAAAATCAATAAAAGAATAAGTGGTGTACTGCTCGACAGGATTCACGCTGCTTCTGCCGCAATACAAAATCTAAAGATCCGTAAAGAGGAAAATCGTCAGTTTTTCACCGAGACAAATCTTGTACTCCTAAGTAAATTGAAAAAAGTTATGATAAAAATTGCAAAATACATTAAAGAGATTCGAGAATTTAAATGGCTAAGGAGGTATTTCACCAGCAAAAGTATTGAGGAGACGTTCAGGCTGCTTACCACGGAATTTGATGGGTACATCTCGTCTTTGAACTTCTCGATAATTATTGAATTAAAAATGCAAAATGAAAAGGACTGTGCCGCTTTAAAGCACGATACACATGAAACAAACCAGGTAAAAAAAAAGGCTTTCGTTTCTTTTTATTTCAATTTACATAAAATGATAAATATCAACTTGACAATTGCTTTTTAAATACTTTACTCAGTTGCTTTTACAACTTGTTGAGTCCGTGAACTATAACAAGGAATTTCGTGATGACGTTACAAAAATCAAAGATGGGGTTATGGACATCAAAGAATGTGTGCAGGACATTAAAAACATCAAGGATTGTGTTCACGATATTGTTACGATGTTGAAACACTTTGAAGAATTTTCTACCATGAAGAAATTATTTAATAATTTACAAAGTTCGCAATATAAGAGCGAACTAAAGGAAGAAGATTTTATCGATTCACTACTAAATCTCGGTGATTTCACTTTCGCCGAGAGATCACGTGGTGGTATTCAAAAATGGATAAGAAATTCCGATCATTTGGAATTGGCTTTTACTGAAATTAACTCGAATCTTCTTTCGAAAGAACACCAAAAAAGTCTCTTATTTGAGGTTAGCCTGTTGAAAAAACTTCGAGGTTCACGTGACATTGTGCAATTCTATGGTCTGGTCAAGGATGAGTACCGATCAAAAATGTATCTCGTCACCGAATGGTCGCAATATGGGAATTTACGTGAGTATTATAAGCAAAAAAAGCTTAAACCATCCATAAAATTACAAATTGCATTAGATATTGCCCTCGGACTTAATTTTCTCCAAGCCTGTCAAATCCTACACCGTGATCTGCGGAGCGTGAATATCATGATCGGTTCTCATGAACACGCAAAACTCGCAAACTTTAGTATGTCTCGCGGTTTCCTTGAAGTTTCAAGGGGTATCCC